CCCGCGAAGTGTTGAAGTTTGCATCTCGCAAATCCCCCCTTCAATCCGCGCGACTTAACAGCTCAATGTGCAGGCAGCGATTTGAAGTTGGCTAATCCTTTTTCCCTTGAAGGAAGGAAAGGCTGCTTCTCCGCTGAGGCCCGGAGTTTGCAAGTCTGATGAATCGGACAGAAAAAAAAAAACGACCTCCTCCTTTTTCTTCTTCTTCTTTTTCCAGAGGGCTTTGGAGAGGAGTTGAGGGCACCGGGAGGGGAGGGGGTGGACGAACGAGAGGATGCTCTAACGAGCCCGCTTTACGAACTAATGGAGCATCATTTGGTCTCTGCCTCTGGCTTAATATGCAGCCGGATTCCACGCGCTCCCGGTTCACGCTCCCTTCTCTTTTTCAGGCGAAACGACGGTACCCCCACCGAAGAACCAGTGGTATCCTATGTACGTGGTGGTGCTGGTTCTCTTCGTCCTGGTCATCGCCGGCGTCGGAGTCTTGGCCTCACGCAAGCGGCGGAGGGAACATGGCCAACTCTGGTTCCCGGAGGGCTTCAAAGTGACCGAATCTAGCAAGAAGAAGCGCCGAGAGCCGCTGGGAGAGGATTCGGTGAGGCTGAAGTGAGTAATCCCTCCGCTTCTCGAGTTCAGGGCCTCGGGGCCGGATTCCAGAGACGGCTCTTCCTGCACCGGTTCGGGCGGTTGTCCATCCGCCGTGGCGGTGGTTCCCTCGGCGTCCGTCCCCAGGTTTGAGCTGGCTTCCCGCTCTGCCGTTTTGACACGGAGAGCCTTTTGCTTCTGGCGCCTCGGGTGTGACAGCTCCGGAAGCCACACAAGGAATGGGAAGGCGGACGTTTCATTGAGAAAAAGAAAGTGTAGGGGAGACAGGTTTTCATATATACCTGATTCGGTTCTGAACCACATCAGGCATTTTCCACGGAAAGAAAGATCATTGCATTTTCTAATTTCTGGGACTGCCATTCCCCCTTTTTTTTGAGCTAAAATTTGGGGAGATGTGCCAGTTTTTTGTTTGGCTGGGTTTTTTTAAATAGCCCCTAAAGGCTACCAAGCCCCCCCCGGGGAGTGCTCCACGCCTCACTCTTGATTTATATACTTTTCTCCAGATTTGCCAGTTTTTTGTTTGGCTGGGTTTTTTTAAATAGCCCCTAAAGGTTCCCAAGCCCCCCCCCCCGGGAAGTGCTCCACGCCTCACTCTCGATTTATATACTTTTCTCACTTGTGCACCTGCTGTCCAGCTGTGTTTGAATGAGAAATGTAAAGGGGGCAGGGGGGAATTTTTTTAATTATTATTTTCAATTACGTCTGATTGCTTCTGGCTCACGACGAGCGGTTTGGCTTTCCTAGCAAAAGGTCTTAACTCTTTCTGCCTTCTTCTGTCCCCCGTCCGCCTCGCACGTACAAAACAGGCCTTTGAAAAACGCTTCGAACGGCACCCTGATGGACGACAATCAGAACGAATGGGGTGACGAGGAGACCCTGGACCCCAAGAAATTCAGGGTGAGCCCCGGGGAAGAAGGGTGGCCCTCCGGGTCTGGTGGCGTCCCAATGGGGTGGACGAAAGGAGGGCCGGGGGGGGTCCTGCCCCACCACCGAGGATTCATGTCTCCCCAGGCTTTTTCGGCCATGCCTCCCCACCCCCTTTGTGCTCTCCAAAAAGGGAGCTTCCTGTCACCTTCCAAGGTCCGAGGACAGCGATAGGCCACTGCTTTCTCTTAATTTGGGCTTCAGAGGAGTGTGATGGTGCAAAGTCAAACCTGCACAGAATCCAGGCTTCTGGTTCCTTGTTGGGTGGCCGCCTGACTCGTTTTTGACACCGTTGTGTGTGCAGTAGGACTCCTGATCTGTGGGATCGCTACCCACCCGTGCCCTCCTCCTCCTCCTCCCCAGAACTAGCCAGTCCGCTCCCTGTTTGCGGCGCAGCTATCGCCTCCGCCATCGTGGCGCCAACAGCGGAAGGAGCCCGGCCGGCTCTTCCCCGCCTCCCCAGGCAGCCGACCGCCAGCTGATGGGCAGGGGCTGCTGAATGAGGAGGCAGGGAAGAGCTGACCGATTCTGCATTTGGCGTGACAGTGACAAAAATGGAGCCAAGCACCACATGGGGGGGGGAGGGAAGGGGCCTCTGTGCCACCATTTCCCTGGGGATCTGAATACATAGAACCCATGTCTAATATTTATACATGTCCCCAAAGGCCTATTTACCAGAAAGCGCCACTAGAGGGAGCCAGAGACCATGCAATCTATTACAGTCGATAGTTGCACGTTTTTCACCCTCTGTGGGGGGGGGCTCGGATTTGACCCCCTGCAGACACCACGGTCCCACCGTATGTGCTCCGGGCGTGCCTGTTTTATAAGGGGGGGCCCCCTTGTGACCTCTCCCCACGGCTCTTTCGCAGGGGGAGGAGCAGGCCATGCTTCCCGACATGGACGAGCAGACGGACCACCGGCAATGGACGCAGCAGCACCTGGACGCGGCCGACCTGCGCCTTTCCTCCATGGCGCCCACTCCGCCACAAGGCGAGATCGATGCCGACTGCATGGACGTCAACGTGCGAGGGCCAGGTAGGGGGAAAAACACACACACACCGCTCCGCTTTCTCCAATTTTTGTCTAGAGGTGCAACGACGCCAGGGTCAGCATGGCGCTTGGACGTCAACGTGCGAGGGCCAGGTAGGGGAAAAACACACACACACCCCACTCCGCTTTCTCCGATTTTTGTCTAGAGGTGCAACGCCGCCGGGGTCAGTACGGCGCTCGGCAGGCAAACCCGGCTGGCGCAAGGCAAACAGAATGCAGGTCGCTCGGCCTTTTTGCTCTTTATTCCCATCTTCTTTGCAAACAACCTGTAAAGTGCGCCAGTTTCCGTCATATGTCAGAGTCGGGGCACGAGTCCAGGAAAAACGGTGTGCGTCCCGGTGTCAGGTCAGCCGACGTGCACACCTGGGTCTCAGAGAGAGAGGAGGAAGAGCATTTGGGGCGGAGAGGGGTCCCCTGCTCCTCCCCACCGGGTCCGGCCGCTGACCAGCCTGTCTGGCTTGTCTCCTTGCAGATGGCTTCACTCCCCTGATGATCGCTTCGTGCAGCGGAGGGGGCCTGGAGACGAGCAACAGCGAGGAGGAGGAAGACGCCCCCGCCGTCATCTCCGATTTCATCTACCAAGGGGCCAGCCTGCACAACCAGACCGACCGCACGGGGGAGACGGCGCTCCACCTGGCGGCCCGCTACTCCCGCTCGGACGCCGCCAAGCGGCTGCTGGAAGCCAGCGCCGACGCCAACATCCAGGACCACATGGGGAAGACTCCGCTCCACGCCGCCGTCTCCGCGGATGCTCAGGGCGTCTTCCAGGTAAGGTCCGCCGGCTGGCTCTCTTGGTCATCTCTGATCCCCCTCGGCTCTTCCGCAGTCGTTTTCTAGCCGTGGGTTTTGATCTTTAAATCCCAGGTGGTTGTTAATTTTGCCCGTCGGCCTCCTTGAATCGCTAAGAGAAAAGCAGAGTGCCCCCCTTGTGTGGTTGGTTTTTTTTAAAATTACCGTATTTTTCGCACCATAAGACGTACTTTTTCCCCACAAAACGGGGTGGAAAGTCTGTGCGTCTTATGGAGTGAAGAAAACAGATTATATTTTCCTGTTTTCTTCTCCTAAAAAATTGGTGCGTCTTATGGAAAGGTGCGTTTTATGGAGCGAAAAATACGGTAAATTTTCAATAATATAACAATAACAAAACGCAACGAAACGTCAAAAAGAAAATTCGCCAAATCTTATCAACTTACAAAGAAAGCACGAATACTGTATAAAATAACACTTTCAACTCCGTGTTTCTCACCACCTTCGGGACCAATTTACTTATTTATTTGGAAGGGGCCTCTTTAGTGATTGACTTACTAGTTAGGAAGAGGCCTCTACAGTCTTCGAGTCCGACCCCCCGCTTTATGGATTTATTTGGTTTTCGTCTCTCTCACACACATACACACCGGGGCGGGGAATATATTTATGTTAAAATGATGGATCAATGAAAACTGAATGGATTGTGCCCAATGTGTTTCCACCTGCTTGCTGTATCTGCCGGCTGGTCACTCGGAGCGCTCTGGCAAGAAAAAACGGCGAGCACCGTGTCCTTACCAGTCACCCCAAACCAAAGGCGCCTTTTTCTAGTGGCGTCAAAACAATGACACAACAGACTCCAGGCCTCTTGATGTCCTCCGGCAGTTAATAAGCAGCTAGCATCGAAGGGAAGCGTGGCCGTAACTGCAGAGCAGAGGCTTGGAGGGTGTCCGGGACTACGATCCGGGCAGCCTCCTGACCAGGAGACCTGGAACTCAACGGGGTGCCCCCCCTTCCTTCCCCTTTCTGTGTCGGACAGATCCTGATCAGGAACCGGGCCACCGACCTGGACGCCCGGATGCACGACGGGACCACCCCCCTGATCCTGGCGGCTCGTTTGGCGGTGGAAGGCATGCTGGAAGACCTCATCAGTTGCCACGCGGATGTGAACGCCGTCGACGACTCAGGTACTGACGCCTCCCCCGGGAGGGTCCCAGGAAAGGAGGGCAGGCATGGACGTTGGGTTGGGTGGGGAGAGCCGGATGGGCGGCCAACGGACCGCCTGTTGGTCTCACTGCGGGTCTCTCTGTCTCCCTCTTCCCAGGAAAATCTGCCCTGCACTGGGCGGCCGCCGTGAATAACGTGGACGCTGCCCGAGTGTTGCTGAAAAACGGAGCCAACAAGGACATGCAAAACAACAAGGTGAGACTCCTGGGAGGCACCCACTGGGCAGGGATATCTGGCCCTTGGTTCCCCCCCCTCTGCATGCCGCTCGGGCGCCGGAGCCGGGCCACGGGCAAGAGAGGAACCCTTTTGGCGCTGTGTCTTTTCAGGAAGAGACGCCCTTGTTCCTGGCCGCCCGGGAAGGGAGCTACGAGACGGCCAAGGTGCTCCTGGACAACTTCGCCAACCGGGACATCACGGACCACCTGGACCGGCTGCCGCGCGACATCGCCCAGGAGCGCATGCACCACGACATCGTCCGGCTGCTGGACGAGTACAACTTGGTGCGCAGCCCGCCCTTGCACGGGGGCCCGCTGGGGGCGGCCACCCTCTCCCCGCCGCTCTGCTCGCCCGGCGGCTACCTCGGTCACCTCAAACCGGCCGGGCCGAGCAAGAAGGCCCGCAAGCCGAGCACCAAGGGCCTGTCCTGCCCCGGGAAGGAGACCAAGGAAGCCAAGGCGCGCCGGAAGAAGTCGTCGGAGGGCAAAGGCGGCTGCTTGCTGGACGGGGCCGGCGCCCTCTCCCCGGGGGACTCCCTGGAGTCACCCCACGGCTACCTGTCGGACGTGGCCCCCCCGCCGCTGATGGCCTCCCCCTTCCAGCCCTCGCCCTCCCTGCCCCTCAACCACCTGCCTGGCATGCCAGACGCCCACCTGGGCCTCGG